TTACTTTCACTTAGTATAATGTTCTCAAGGCTCAACCATGTTGTGGCAGGGGTCAGAATTTCCTTCCTTTTTAAGGCTGAGCAATATTCCATTGTCTACCTATACTACCACTTACTTATTCATTTATCCATCAAGGAACCCCTGGGTTGCTTTCAGCTCTTGGTTATAGTGAATAAGGCTGCTGTGAACATGGGTACACAAATACTTATCAAGACCTTGCTTCAGTTTTTTTGACTATATACTAGAAGTTAAATTTCTGGAATATAGGATAATTGTTTTTTTGAATAACTTCCATTTTGTTTTCTTGAAAATTTTTTTTACGTAATAGAAAGTTCTTAAAATACTCTCAAAATAAAGGTCAAAAACAACATTAAGAAACTTTCTCAGAGAGTAGTACAAAAAGACTACAAATATAAAATATTGGGACTGCCCTGGTGGTCCAGTGGCTAAGACTCTGTTCTTCCAATGCAGGGGGCCCAGGTTGGATCCCTGGTCTGGGAACTAGATCCCACATGACACAACTAAGATCAGGCACAGCCAAGTAAATAAACAAACAAATATTTTTACTTAAAAAAGGAGAAAACACAGGGGATCAATCCAGGAGGTCTAAAATCCTACCAAGAGCAGTTTCAGAGAGAAGAAATAGAGAAAATAAAGAGGAAAAAAATATTTTTAAAAGTGCATTTTACTAAGTGAAAGAAACCAATCTGAAAAGGCTGCATAGTATACAATTCCAAATATATGACATTCTGGCAAAGGCAAAACTATGAAAACAGTAAAATGTTCAGTGGTTGCCATAGGTTGGGAAAGAGAGGGGTGGATAGGTGAAACACAAAGAACTTTTAGGGCAGTTAAAATACTCTTTATTGGACCATCGTGGTGGATACATGTCATTATACATTTGTCCAACGCACAGAATTTCAACACCAAGAGTGAGCCTTAAAGTAAGCTTTAAACTTCAGAAGATAATGATATAGGTTCATCACCTGTAATAAATGTACCATTCTGGGGAATGTCAATAATGGAGGAGGTTGTGCATGTGGGGGGCTGGGAGTACATAGGAAATCTCTGTACATTTGCCTCAATTTTGCTGTGAACCTTAAACAGCTCTTTTTTTAAAATAAAATAAAATAAAGACTTAATAATAAATACAAACACAGTGCAGATATTTTCCTCAAATCTTAAGGAAATTGGTTCCCAAAGCAAAAAGCCTCATTGAGTTCTTAGTACATGCCCTCATGAAATTTCAGACTCGAGAGAGAGAGAAAAATATTAGTTTTTAAGACACTGAAGTGGGGGATCAGATAACACACCAAAGGGTAAACTTAGGATGACACCTTACTTCTCAATATCATCTCTGGAAGCTAGAAAACAAGATCATGTTAACTTTAAAATTATACATAAAAATGTACTTCAACCTAGCGATCTGTACCCAACTAAAGTATCAGTTGCCACCTCTATTGTTTCTACCATCAGAGCCACAAGTCTAACTTTTAGATTTTTCAGGAGTGACTCAGACACCACCAACCAAGTCCCCTTGAGCTCTTAGAGATTCAGATCAGGTTTTGAGGGGACCCACTGAAACCCCTTTCCCTAGGCTGAAGTGTTTCACACCCTCTCCTAACCAACAAAACATCCTGTGTATGTGAGTGTCTGGATGGGAGAGTTTTGGTGTTAGGATCCTCAGCACTGTAACAGCTCTCTCCAAAACTACTCATCCAATCTGCAGTCCCCTAGTCTTCTACAGCCTTTCTTTATAGGCTAGAGCTAGGTAGTCACCTAAGGACAGAATTCAGTTATTAGATTCTCCATTGCAAGTCCTGCTCATGCAGTTTTAGGCCTTACTTTGGAATATGAGAATCAGCAGCATCCGTCATCTTGGAGATTCAGCCTAAATTGAGAGAGAAAAAAAATGGAGGTCCCAGTTTTAACATCCTATTACACAGAATATGCAACCTGGCTCAGCAGTAAGCAACATTTATAGGGCCCTAATTCTGAGCAACGAAGAACTGATGCTTTCAGACTTGTGGTGCTGGAGAAGACTCTTGAGAGTCCCTTAGACTGTAGGGAGATCAACCAGTCAATCCTAAAGGAAATCAACCTTGAATATTCATGGGAAAGACTGATGCTGAAGCTGAAGCTTAAATACTTTGGCCACTTGATGCAAAAAGACAACTCATTGGAAAAGACCCTGATGCTGGGAAAGATTGAAGGCAAAAGAAGAGGCTGGCAGAGGATGAGGTTGTTAGATAGCATCACCAATTCAGTGGACATGATTTTGAACAAACTGGGAGACAGTGAAGGAAAGGGAAACCTGGTGTGCTAGTCCAACGGGTTGCAAAGAGTCGGACACAACTTAGCAACTGAGCAACAACAATTATATAAACACTGAAGACTGGTTTAACCAAAGACGCTGATGGGACCGTAATGGGAGATATGGAACAGGGAGACAGAGCCACAGTTTCATTCACTCAGTGTGTAAGTCGAGGCTCCTAGGTGCAAGCAGCAGACTCCACTCTGACTTGATAAAGCTGGGAACGAGGTTGTCAAATCAGGTAGCATTCCAGAATCTCCAGGAACAACACCTAACTCACTATGGGCTGCACTGGTGGATGCCTTACTGTCTCCGGTGCCTGGGACCCATGCTGCAGCCTGTACATGACACCACTGACACGAAGGACCATGCATCAGAGACTCACAAAAGCCAGACCTTCTACCACCACAGGTGCCAGAGGACTTCTTCCCCTACAGGCCCCTTTCCTCATGCACTCACTTCTGAATCAAAACTGGGGCAGGTGCATCTGACTGATGAAGCCTCAATTACATTTCTACACCCCAGCTGTAAGGGGGGCTGAGAACACAGTTTTTATGGCTTCTATCCTGGGAGCACAGGAAATGATCAGAATACGAGGAGTGTTCAAAAAAAGTCAAGTCTCTACAAATAACCAATGTCTATTTCCAGAAGTCAGCGGATAATGATGAAAACTGATAAATCTAGAAATTGCAGATAGGCATCTTATCTAGAAAAGTGTTGGTAAAAGCCACAAGAAATAGCTTGAGAGCTGAAAGGCCTGGGAAGAAAGGTGAAAGATAGAGGGTAGGAGGTTAAGGGACAGCTGTTCTTTTTTCACAGACGTTGTTGGGAAATGTTCGTTTGTTTACAGCACGCATATGTAATACCCTGATAAATACAAACCTGTTAAAGGGATCACACTTCAGAAGCATCAGACTTGGAAGGTGATGCCTCTCGGATACCCCAGGGCAGCTGGCCTGGTAGAGCCCCTGAACAGGGTTTTTGGCATGCTACCAGATAGTGTGTTTTCTGCCAGCCCACCCACAGCTGTCTCCTGCAGAGGGAGTTGCTGCATCTCTTGCTAACATTGACCTAAGAGAGGAAAGAGACTGGTTTTCATTGGATTTTTTGTTGTTGTTGTTCCTAATTGCTTTTTGTTTATCCACCACAAATATGAAGGTCATGTTGAAGTTTAAAAGAAAATTATAGGACTTCCATGGTGGTTCAGTGGATAAGAATCCACCTACCAATGCAGGGGACACACGTTCAATCCCCGGTCCGGGAAGATTCCACAGGCTGCTAAGCCCATGTGCCACAACCACTGAGGGCCATGTGCCTAGAGCCCGAGCTCTGCAATAAGGGAAGACACCACAGTGAGAAGCCTGCAGTGAAAAGTAGCCCCTACTATGAAGAGTAGTCCCTGCTTGCCACAGCTAGAGAATGCTAGCACCCAGCAACGGAGACCCCGCGCAGCCAGAAAGTAAGTAAATAGAAATTTTAAAAGAATAATAAACACTAAAAGAAAATTTACTGGCAGGTTCACCACACATTTCTTTTTTTTTTTTTTTTTTGAAGTACATGTTTGCATTTTTATTGTATTTAAGAGAAGCATTTCTTATTTATATGAATTTTAAATTAGGACAAAAATCAAATGAAAACACAGAAAAACACATTAAAGCTGAGGCTTCAATTTTCTCAGATGCAACAAGTATAACAAAGTGAAGAGACAGTGCCTTGGGTAGCCATAAGTCTGTAAGCAGGAGGCAGATCAAACACTTCTGGAGGGAAGTCAAAGTTTTTTTTGGACAATTCACCACAACTGGGACCTGTTTTTGGAATTATCCCTAACAAACAGAAATAAACCTCAAGTTTCACCTTGTCACAGGATCATCATATGTGTTACTAATAAGTAACAGTTTAAGAAAGCTGGGGTCTTCATAACCTAAACACTGCAGTGCACAGTAGAGAATATAAAATTGTAAGATGCTTCAGTTCAGTTCAGTTCATCCGCTCAGTCGTGTCCGACTCTTTGCAACCCCATGGACTGCAGCACACCAGGCCTCCCTGTCCATCACCAACTCAAGGAGTTTATTCAAACTCATGTCCATTAGGTCAGGGACGCCATCCAACCATCTCATCCTCGTCGTCCCCTTCTCCTCTCGGCCTCAGTCTTTCCCAGCTTCAGGATCTTTTCAAGAGTCAGTTCTTCGCATCAGATGCCCAGAGTATTGGAGATGCTTTGGGAGATGCTTTGGGTAAGCGTAAGATGCGTTGGGTGCCCTAAAAACTTCACTTAAATATCGCGCTCAAATTGTCTGGTGTCTGTTGCTTCATAATCGAAAACTGCACCCTAAGTCTGGTTAAACCTTCCATCACGGGAGTTCCTTGGTAACAAGGGCGATCCTGGACCAGAATGTGTTTACACCAGTACCCCATGGGGTCGCAAGGAGTCTGACACGACCAAGCGACTAACACTTTCCCGGAGGGAAAAGCCGAGTCTTCATTCTGATCGTGGATCACCTTAAGGAAAGGTGCGCCTCAGTAGACAGCTTCCCTGACAGACCCAGAGAAAGGCCGGCCCCACAATCTCGTCAACTGTCCGACTAGCTCTGAATTTCTTAAGTGTGCCGTCTTCCGGAGACGAGAGAAGGGTCCGGGAGAAAGGGGGCCTTTAGAGACGGGGAACGAGCCTCACTCGCCGATTTACCTGCTTTCGATTTCCACCGGATCCGCGTCGGGCGGCTGCACCTTCACCTTCACCTCGGCCATGAGGGCGCCCGTACCGGGCCCTTGTGGGAAGAGACCCCTCCTGGCGGCCGGACTGCCAGCCGGGGGAAGCGGGGCCACCACACATTTCTTAATGCAGGAGATTACATGTTACAAGTCTGTGCTTTCCAAAACAGACCGGAGGAGCCCATGGCCTCTTTGCCTCTCGGGCCCAGAGCCAGCTCCCACGTGTGTACCCTGTGCAGAGGATCTTCTGCTATCACTGTCTCAAAGTTCCAATAACTTTTGAATGAGCACCGCCTCCCCCCAACGTTTTCATTTGGCACAGGGTCCTGCGAACTCTATTATCCAGCCTGGATGTGCCGTAAAGTCCAGGACTAACTGCGAGGTTCAAGCAGAAAACATAAGTCAAGATTTTAGTGTATTTCTTTTCTTCTCCCTCTCTGTCCCTCTCTTCTCTTTCTCCATCAGAGACTGTTAATCTGGAGGCTCCTGAAGTTGCATACAAACTTTTCTGGACAAGGGGACATGCTTTTTTCTGGAGAGTTCCTCTTGTTTTATCAAGTTCTCGACAGTTCTGTGACCCTTCCTCCAAAGTCTAGGAACCACCAATCCACATGAACTTTTATTTTTTCTTTAAACTTATTTTGTATTGGGGTATAGCCAATTAACAACACTGTGATAGTTGCAGGTGAACTGCGAAGGGACTCAGCCGTACATAGACATGTATCCATTCTTCCCCCAAATCCCCTCCCATCCTGGCTGCCCACTGAGCAGAGTTATCTGTGTGGTACAGTAGGTCCTTGCTGGTTATCCATTTTAAATACAGCAGTGTGTACATGTCAGTCCCAAACTTCCTATCACTTCCCCCATCCCTAGCAACCATAAATTCATTCTCTATGAGTCTGTTTCTGTTTTGTAAATAAGTTCATTTTGCATCATTTCATTTTGGATTCTGTATATAAGGAGTGTCATACAATATTTCTCCCTCTCTGTCTAACTTCACTCAGTACGACAATCTCTAGGTCTATCCATGTTGCTACAAAATGGCATTATTTCATTCCTTTTAATGTACTTGAGCTTTGATCTTTTAGGTCCTTTTTAACAACTCAGTATAAATATGTACTTAGGTCTCAATCAGCTCTAAATTTTGGTTGTAGGTGGTAAATAAAGTTTAACTGCATCATGTGTTTGTTCTATAGAGGCTGATCCGTGTGCTTCAACTTCTTATTATCAGGCCTCCCTTTCAATGGGGGAGAGCTAAGCAATGGACAAATTCCCTTTGTTTGAAATGGTTGGAAATGGCACAGCTGGTTGTGATTCTCAGGCAAAAACGCAGGTGCTTACAAGCCAAGAACTCGCTGTGGTTCACCGTCTCGAAGGAGCCATTCTATTGCTATAAGGCAGCTCACCTAAAGGAAAATTCATTTGATACAGTGTGGCTTTCAGAGTTACTTGCCTTTCATGGAATCCTCCAGATAATAATAAACTCTGAAAAAATAGAATCAAAGCATGTTAAACCTGGATGGGTTCCTAGAGACGGATGAGAACGCCTCTTGCAAAGAGCTTAGCGTATGTTAAAGCATTTTCGGGACAATTTGCCAAAGTTTACTCAGTCTTGTGATTTTGACAGGCTAAATGGACCCTCTGAGATTTACACACAGGCATTCTTGCTTAATTAATGGAGTTCCAGAAGAGCAGGCGGCTGAGTCTCTGCTTTAGTATCTTGCCCAGGACTCTAGGGTTAGCAAAAGGCTTTCACATGCCTAGATTATTGCATTTGATCTCACTTCTCTTTGGAGTAACATCATCCCCATTGTTACACAAGAGAAATCAAAACTCAGAGAGGTTGCATACGGTGCCCAAGTCCATAGATGTGGGAATGGTGCTATTAATGTTTGACTCTTAATCCAGTTCTCCTTCTGCTGTCTCTCCAGTCCTAGGATGGAGAGATACTTTTCCAAACAAGTTCTCTGCAAAGTCAAAGACTTTGAGATTCACAGTTAAGAGGTGAATGACTCCAAAGGCTTTACTGGGAGGCACTGGCCCCCTCTTCTTACCTGTATGAACTTAGGCAGGTCACAAAACCCCTCCATGCTGTTTATTCAGGCTCACTATGGCAATAAAAACACTATCCACCCCAGAGAATTGCAGTGAGAATGAAATGAGTTGTTATTTGAAAAAAAAAAAAAATTAGCACTAGCTCATAGTAAACACCCTGGTGTTTATGTTATTATTATTATTAACACTATTATAGCTATCCTTACACCTCACCAATATTGAATATTACTTTTCAAACAGCTTCAACAACTTGAAGACAAGAACAATTAGGAGACAAAAAAGAAGAATTTTGGTGTTGTTCTGATTCACACACTTTGATATCTGGAGAGGGTGAACTCTCTTCTTTATTAGCTATTTGTATTTATTTTGTGCATTGCCTCACCATGTCCTTGCACATTTTAAAATTAACGTTTAGTTGGTTTATAATATCGTGTTAGTTTCAGGTGTACAACAAAGTGATTCAGTTATATATATATATATATATATATATATAGAGAGAGAGAGAGAGAGAGAGAGAGTCTTTTTCATTATATATTATTACGAGATATTAAATATAGTCCCTTTTGCTATACAGTAGGGCCTTGTGTTTATCTATTTTATGTATGATACCATGTATCTATTAATCCCATGTTGCTGTTTATAGTTGCTAAGTAATGTCTGACTCTTTGTGACCTCATGGACTGCAGCATGCCAGGCTTCCCTGTCCTTCACCATCTCCTGGAGTTTGGTCAAACTCATGTCCATTGAGTCAGTGATGCTATCCAACCACCTCATGTTAATCTCATGCTCCTAATTTACCTCCCCTTCCCCTTTGATAACCATATGGTTGTCTTCTCTGCCTGTGAGTCTGTTTCGGTTCTGTAAATAAGTTCGTCTGCATTGTCTTTGAGACTCTGCGTTCCTAGGCATTTCTGATACGGTATTAAGAAGAGCTTTGGGTTGACACCGCCCCCTGAACAGAATCGATGTAGTTAATGTGCCCTGTGCCCCACCCCCACATCCACACAGGAAACACTATGACATCATGAACACAGTCGGTCCTTGAACGTTAATTTCATTGCTCACTCAGAACAAAGTCTGGGGAGCAGAGATGTTTTCTCTTATAAATCAGAGCAATTTCATGGTCTTTGGGGAAAAGGCCAACAGTATGGCCCACTCATTTTTAACGGAGACATTAAAAGTAGAGTGCCTGTTATTCCTTTAAGATGACTTTTAAATTCACATGGCAGCTCCTTCTTTGTCCAGCCGGTCAACAGCCCACACAAGTCAACCAAGGGGCAGGATTTCCAACTGGAGAAATGAAGGAGGAAGAAACTGCAACTGCTCCACCCAACCTCACCTCTCTGTTTTCACTCATTTTCAACTGAGCAGTTTTCTACACCTCTTGACAACTCTGATTTTTAACTGACACCTCAGATACCATCTCCTAATGGTGGGGTCTGTTTTGGGAGATGACTACCATCTCCCTGTGATTCTATTTGCAAGGCTCCCAGATATAGGGCTTCCTAGGTGGCTCAGTAGTAAAGAATCCACCTCTTGCCAATGCAGGAGACGTAGCAGATTCAAGTTCAACCCCTGGGTTGAGAAGATCCCCTGGAGAAGGAAATGGCAACCCATTCCAGTACTCTTGCCTGAAAAATCCCAGGTCACAGAGTCCAGCACGACTGAACATACACACGCACAGAGATGGGAAGCTCTCTCCCCACCAACTCTGAGCTGTTCTCTGAAGACGATCCTAGGCAAGCCACCTTGATGGATGTCATAGGGGAGGATCCAAGCTAGATGGGGGATTAGAAAACTAACGAGCTTCCTATTCCTGTTGCTGACCATCTGGCCAGATGTTTCTCCCGATGGACTTCATAACAACACAAGCTGCAACAGCATTAACTAGAAGGAAAAGAAGGATGACCAGAATACTATGTACAAAGAGCATAGCCCACATTGCATGATTTAAACCCCAGCTGCACTGAAAGAGTCACTTAGTTTTCCAGAGACTAAATATCTGGTAAGAGGACTTTCCTGGCAGTCCAGCGATTAAGATTCCCAGATTCCATTGCAGGGGGCACAGGTTCGACCCCTGGTCAGGAAACTAACAGCCTGCAAGCCACGTGCTGTACCAAAACATAAATAAACAGATAAATATTCAATCAGACCCCAAACTCCATTTTCTCCTCCCCCAGCCGCCATCTCAGTGCCCACATCCCCAGGCTGTACTCCATCCCTCCTCCCACACTGATCTTGGTGCCATAGATATGTGTGAGGAGCTACTTGGTAAATAAGAAGTTTGTGAAAGAAAGAAAATCTAAAATTAATAATGCCTTTTAACCAGAGGGTGAGTGTGGGCTGATTACACTCCTCATGAAATCACCCTGCTTCAGGCAGACCGGACCCAGGCAGGCCCAGTGGGGGAGGAGAGGCTAAACAGCAAGGCGACCTGTATGCTTTTTGTTTGAGCGGCTGGATGACTTCCCCTTACATAAAGTTGTTATTCGGATTACTCAGAGAGGCCTGATAAGTGTCAAACACAGAGCAATCACGAGGCTGACTTTAATGTGTCCTGAAAATGCAGTCATGCCTTCATCTTGCGACTTCCCGGGGTTGCAGGAGCATGCCGCATCTCGCTGCGGCTGGCCTTTCCCCGGGTGCTCCGGACTCCCCTTTCTCAGCTGCAAGCTCCGCCCTGATGTGCAGCCATAAAGGACACTATTCAAGAAGGAGCTAGAGAAGCCAGCTTCTCGCACCAGCTCCTCCAGTATTGCCGAGGACCACCTGGGGAAGAGGTGGTGCTGGGTCTGGATTCAGAGGCCCCTGGCCGAGGTGGGGGGTGCAGCTGCTGAGGACACGAGGGAGGAGGCCTTCCAGGCTTGGACACTGGTGACTCACCCCAAGACCCAGTACTCCTCCAGACTGCATTTGCAGAGCTGACCAAGGTCTCCAAGTTTTCACCTGCCAAGCTGAAGGAGACGAGATGACACGCTGCA